TGGTGGTGGTGGTGGTGGCTATCATCACATCACATCCATCCAACCAGTTTAACCCCCAGTCGATGACCACCATATCTCTTTTTTCTGGGGCTTTTGGCCACCAAGTTTTTTGCTCTACATCTGCTTCTCCTTCTGTCACCATCACCACCACCATCACCACTGCTGACGTCCTCCTGTGGTGTCCTGGAGGGTGAGAGGGAGAGCCGCTGCAAATAAACTGCAAACAAACACAACCACCCGACCAAATAGACAAACAAACAAACAAACAAACAAACAGTGACAGGAAGAGAAACAAAGGGGAGCAGTGGTGGTGGTGGTGGTGGTGGATGAAGAGAGCAGGAGCCTCCCGCCTGCCTTTGCCGCTGCCCCGCTAATGATCGCCCATTTGTCATCAGCGGTGTCGGATCCGTTCTCTTTGACTGTGCTGTGATGCCTAATAGAGTGCGGAATACGGAGGCAGAAGGAATTATGCTTTTTTAAACGACACATCTTTTTCCCATCTTGGAACCATTTGTGTGTGTCAGTCGAAGCAGCTAATTTATTGAGACTTACCGTGTTTTCTGGTGTTTGCTCAAAATCTACCCCCTCAATAAACAGTGTGAATGGCCAGACAGATAGGTCTTCAGGNTAGATGAAGAGAGCAGGAGCCTCCCGCCTGCCTTTGCCGTTGCCCCGCTAATGATCGCCCATTTGTCATCAGCGGTGTCGGATCCGTTCTCTTTGACTGTGCTGTGATGCCTAATAGAGTGCGGAATACGGAGGCAGAAGGAATTATGCTTTTTTAAACGACACATCTTTTTCCCATCTTGGAACCATTTGTGTGTGTCAGTCGAAGCAGCTAATTTANCAGGAGTTATGCTTTTTTAAACGACACATCTTTTTTTGCTCCATCTTGGAGCCATTTGTGTGTGTCCGAGTAGAAACAGCTAATTTATTGAGAGTTACCGTGTTTTCCGGTGTTTGCTCAGATTCTACCCCCTCAATAAACAGTGTGAATGGCCAGACAGATAGGTCTTCAGGCAGGTCTTTCTAGGTCTTTCAAGTTACGAGCTGCCTCACCTAAAAAAGAAGTACACGCTAGCTTTGTGTTCTCAATTAGTTGCCCGCTTTCAGGGCAAGCAAAGTTCGTTTTCGAACTTAGCCGCCTCTCTTGAATTTTCTTCAGTAGATGTTCTTTGTTAAGAATGTTTTCTTTGTGAATCCTCAATGGTTCCAGCCTGTCTCCAATCTTCTTGCTCAAACACTCTTTTTAGTGTCTCCTCTTGGAATCCTCGTAAAGCAGTTTTAGTGGCAGTTTCAGGCATCCAGTCCCCCCAGTCCACCAGCTCTCCACTACTCAATCCCATCCTCCTCACATGCTCTCTCTCACTCTCTTTCCATCCGTGATTTGTTGTCATTTTACGACTTCTTGTTGTTGTTGCTGCTGCTGCTGCTCAGCTCTCTTGACAATTTGTGCGGCAGTGTACGACAGGCAGTGTGTGTGTGTCTGTGTTGTGTATATGTTTAAGTACACAACACTGTCGTACAAGAAAGAGAACGACGACGACGACGGCAGCAGCAGCAGTTGCCCCCGAGGAAGCGAGCGAACTTGAGCGGTAGCGTAGAGGAGATGATCAGTCAGAGCAGGTTATTTTTGGTGTCCTGCTGCTGCTGCTTCGTTTGGATGGTTTGTCTTCCTTTTTACTGTCTCTGTCTTTTACTTGTGACTTGCTGTAGTGTGTACTGTGCTGGCTGTGACTGGCTGGTGNCTGCTGCTGCTGCTCAGCTCTCTTGACAATTTGTGCGGCAGTGTACGACAGGCAGTGTGTGTGTGTCTGTGTTGTGTATATGTTTAAGTACACAACACTGTCGTACAAGAAAGAGAACGACGACGACGACGGCAGCGGCAGTAGTTGCCCCCGAGGAAGCGAGCGAACTTGAGCGGTAGCGTAGAGGAGAGGATCAGTCAGAGCAGGTTATTTTTGGTGTCCTGCTGCTGCTGCTTCGTTTTGATGGTTTGTCTTCCTTTTTACTGTCTCTGTCTTTTACTTGTGACTTGCTGTAGTGTGTACTGTGCTGGCTGTGACTGGCTGGTGCACTGGCGAAAGCTAGAAGACTGGCCGATGCCTCAGACACACTACACTCTCGATCGAACTTCCTATTGAAGGGAAGAAGACACAGACAGAGTAAGAAGAAGAGGAGGAGGAGGGGGAGGACGGCGGCGACGACGTCGAAATTGCGGGAATACTCAGAGGGGACAGAACAGAAGAGCAGTGTGTGAGCTTGTACGACGACCACCATTGGAGGGAGAGAGATCAGTCTTATCGCCTCATCACCATCATTTCCATCGCCATCACCATAATCATCATCAACGGCGGCAGCCATTTGCATTTGTACATAGTCAGTCAGACAGAGTCGCTCACACACACGCACACACACACACACAGCTCCACCGTCCTTGTACACCACTGAGTGTCACATGCATGGCGCGAAATGGCGCGAGCAATCGTGTACTACCACTGCTGTCGTTGCTGATGGTGATTGGGGTTGCTTCTCAGCAGTGGTAGTTGAGGGAGAGAGAGAGAGAGAGGTAGTTTAAAGAGCAAGTCTAGTACATAGTGTCTTTGACAACACTCTGCTTCGGTGCAATGCCATTGACCAGTGGAGGAGGAGGAGGTGGAGGTGGATTAGAAGAAGGAGGACTGTTTTTTCCCCAGATTAGCACTTGAACTAACCTTTACCCTCTTTTTTCCTTTCCAATGGCAGCCATCCTCGCCTTTTCCTGACGGCAACAGCAATAGCAACAGCAGCACCAGCACCACCAATGCCAGCCTGAACAGCAGCAGCTGCAACAATCAACTGTCGCCGACGATGGCGGCCGGAGGCGGCTTCAGTGCGGCCAACCGCGCCGGCTCACTGCCCAACGTCAACCAGATTGGCCAGCAGTCACCTCTTCAGCAGCAACAACAACAACAACAGCAGCCTCAACAACAGATGGGCAGTGAAAGCCCCGGCGGGCAGAACAACACCATCGACCTGCAGAGCTGTCTGAACAACCTCGAGGACATGAAGAACGGGGTGAATCTGCTGGAGCGCAGCGGGTCGATGCGCGCAGAGTCGGCCTCGGGACGGGCCTCGCAGCGGAACGCCAGTCCGCACCTCTCTCGGTCGCCTCACCGAGGAGGAGGACAGCAGCAACAGCATCCTCACCAGCACCACCACCACCACGGCAGTAGCCAGAACCTGGTGGGCCTAGGCGGGTCGACGAGCCCTGGGCCGCAGTACGGCAGCAGCCAACAGCTGGCCAGCTTCTCCGGGGGCGGCGGCGGCGGCCTCAGTCACCAGAAGCGATCTCAGTCGCCGTACTCGTCGAGCCACCACACCAGCGCAGCATATCTCAGTCCACCGCCGCCCGAGGGCCACTGGAGGCGGACCGCCTCCGACTCGGCCCTCCACCAGAGTGCCCTCCTCTCGGCGGGAGGAGGAGGAGGAGGAGCAGGGCCTGGTGGGGCCTCACCGAGCCACCACCACAACCATCACCTCCATCACCACCACTCTCATCACCAGAATCATCACGGCTTTCATCAACAACAGCAGAATCAGCTGCAGCAGCAGCAGAACCACTTTCTCCAGCAGCAACAACAGCAGCCGTTGGACGGATTCAGTCAGTTGATGGGCGGCGGCAGTGGTGGTGGTGGTGGTGGTGGTGGTGACCTCTTCAGCAATGGCGGCTCGCCCACCAGACGGTCCACCAGCGGGGCAATGCTCATCGACCACGGCCACGCCCACTCTCCAATGGCCACCGGCTTTCAGGACTCATCACTGAACGGCGACCTGCTCCTCCTCAGCGCCTCATTGCCCGACCACCACGGCCAGAATGCCCATCTGAGGCCGCGCTCTTGCGAGGTGCCCGGCATCAACATCTACCCCAGTGATCCGAACGACCAGGGGGCGGGTAATGCTGCGGCCGGCGGGGGTGATATGAGCAATCACAATCACCACCTGCTGCACAACTCGACGCCCATCTCCTCGAATACCGGCTCGCTGCCTGATCTGACCAATCTGTCGCACTTTCCCGTGCCGCTGCACGCCATTGATGGCAGTGGGATGGGAGGAGGTGGTGGTGACATGAACGGCGGCATTCTTCACCACCACCAGCAGATGATGCAGCAGCAGCAGCAGCAGCAGCAGTCCAGCGGCGGGCCCAAACTGCCGTTCTCCAACGGACCGGACTCGCCCTTCTCACCGGGCGGCTCGTCCGCCAACTCAAACCTCTCGCCGCCGCCGCCCTGCAACATGATGGGCAGCTACAGTGGACAAGATGGAGGCGGCGGCGGACAGGCTGGCAGTCCGGGAGGAACGTCTTCACCACGGCGGCAGGCCTCCCCGGGGCCGTCGCCCTCGCCGACGGCCACCCGTCGTCGGGCGCACCACAATGTCAACAATCTGGTCATTGGCACCGGCGTCGGTGGCAATAGTCATGGGGTGGGTGGTCGTAGTAGTCGAAATAGCTCTCCGCAACGAGTTGCCCCTCCCTCTCCCTTTCACCCTCCCTCCCCCTCCTCTTCGCCGTCACCCCATCACCCCCAAGCTCACCACCACCACCCCGGGACCGGGTCACTGCACCACACCCCTCAGCACACTCCGCAGCATACCCCGCAGCACACGCCTCCGCATTCCATGGCCGCCTCCTCCTCCTCTGCGAGAGGTGGTGGCTCATCCCCCGGTTATAGTGTTGCTTTTGCCCCTGANGTGCCCCTCCCTCTCCCTTTCACCCCTCCCCCTCCTCTTCGCCGTCACCCCATCATCCCCAAGCTCACCACCACCACCCCGGGACCGGGTCACTGCACCACACCCCTCAGCACACTCCGCAGCATACCCCGCAGCACACGCCTCCGCATTCCATGGCCGCCTCCTCCTCCTCTGCGAGAGGTGGTGGCTCATCCCCCGGTTATAGTGTTGCTTTTGCCCCTGATCAGCCGCATCCGAACAGCAGTGGTCATAGTCCGCAGTACAGTGGCAGCAACAGCAGCAGCAGTGGTAGATTTAAGAGTCCGCCGAGGATTACAGTCGAGGTAACACAACTGTGGAAAAGTTTTGTTTTTCTCAACTAATTTCATCTGTGATCTATCCTATCCGCTTTCGCTGTCTTCTTTATCAATTTTCTAACTTTAAGTTTTTTCCATCTTGTTCTAAATCCGTTTTGCTAACTAACCCATTCTTAAAGTTTTGAATAGCTTTTCCTCTTCTTTAATATCTTTAATCCCAAATCTTCAAGCTTTACTTTACTTGGCTCATTAACAAATGATCTCTTTTATCTAACTTTCTATTCTCTCTCTCTCTCTCTTTTTCCCCTAGGGCCTCGCACTGGACACGAGTGCACTGTCGCTGAACAGCAACAGCAACAGTCCGAACAGCAATGGACAGCAGTCGTACGGCAGTGGCAATCATGTCCAGCAGAATGTGAGCAGTCCCTCTGATCAGCTGCTGCCCAATTCGCCCTTTGGTGGTCAGCAGCAGCAACAACAACAACAGCCACAATTTCACTTTACCAATTCGCAATCATTTCAAAGTGTAAGTGCCTTTTTTTAGCAAATTTTCAACAAAAAAATGGCTAACTTAAAACTTTTACTTTTAGTTCTCCATGGGCATGCATCGCAGCACCACGCCCACAACTGACTCTTGTTCGGCGCCCACTTCGCCCGCCTCGCAGAACATCTCGCCTTCCAACTCACCAGAGCTGCCCATTCATACCAATGGAGGAGGTGGTAATCTAGGGAACAATGGTCAGCAGCAACAGCAGCAGATGAGCCAGCAGTTTGGGATGAATGGCAACTCTCCGAACAGCTACAACAGCTACTCGAGCCACCAGCACCAGCAGCAGCAGGCGAACATTCTGCAGCACCAGCTGGAGCAGTTTCGCATGACCAGCGACTCGGAGGGCGGCGGCGGCTCCAGTCAGACGTCGTACATGGTTCGTTTGAATATAATGCCTAATACCATTTTATTCAATATCTAACCACTATCATATCCTTTTCTCCGCTCATCAGATGTCCTGCACCTCTTCTGACCTCTCCCTCGGCCAGATACCGAACGCCTTCTACCTGGACTCGACGTTGAACTCTACCGTCTCCACTTCCTCCTCTTCCTCTCAACAACAGCAGCAATACACAAATCCAGGCGGTGGAGGGGGTGACCAACAGCAGCAGCAACACCACCTTCACCACCTTTCCAATGGAGACCACTATCAACAACAGCAGCATCAACAACAACAGCAGCATCATCAGCAGCAGCACCATCAGTCAATCAACGTCGCCTTCACCAGTGANACAACAACAGCAGCAGCACCACCTTCACCACCTTTCCAATGGAGACCACTATCAACAACAGCAGCATCAACAACAACAGCAGCATCATCAGCAGCAGCACCATCAGTCAATCAACGTCGCCTTCACCAGTGAGAGCAGTGGCCTCTACTTTACCAGCAGCCAGCTGGCGCAGATGACCACGGCGGGAGCTGGTGGTAATAGCAACAACAACAACAACAGTGGCCTGTACAATACGAGCAGTCAGCAGCAGCTGACGAGCAGCCACTCCAGCCACTGTACGACGCCGCAGACGCCCTCCAGTATTCCTGACATTATTCTCACCGGTAAGGCAGTCAGCTTCGAATGAACTTTTCTTGGTAGCTAAAAGATCAATACCATTTTTTTACCCTCTCAGGACCGAACCTGGACGAGCTGACCGCCAGCACGACGGACTTCGTGAAGGACCTGAGCAACTCGATGATCAACATCAACAACACCTCCTTCGACTCGGACATCTTTTGCTCGGCCAGTGACGACATTCGCCCGGGCACCTTTGACTCCTTTGACCTCGACAACCTGCCCATTCTCCCCGACATTGACTCGAACACCGAGTAGGGCTGGGCTGGGCACTCTTCTTCTTCACCTCAAGTACAAACTCTCTATTCTCCTCCCACTCCTCTTTCCTTGCCTCGCATGTGTTTCATTTTCTCTGATGCGCTTGACAACCTCTTTCAAAGATATATCCTGCTCCTGAACTTTCACTGCTCCCTCATCGGCGCCCTCATCATCGCCATCACTACCATCACCAGCATTCTCATTTCCTCACCATTCTCGTTTCCGTCGTCTGCCTTCTTCACTTACCACCTCCTTCCCCCCAAACACATTATTTCCTCTGCCGGTGTGAAAACCCTTCTCCTTCTCCTCTGAAACTCCAACGTTTGCTTTCAACCTGATTCTTTTTATCAAATTTCTGCACCCGTGCAAATTCACCCTCTTCTCTCTTTGACTCAACCAACACTCAGCACCATCAAGTTATCTTCCTTTTTCCTACTCCTTCTCCTCTTTCAGCCTGTCCCCAGCCTCAACATGCGGAACATTGATTTACCGGTTTTGTTGCTGTTTTGCAAATGTTTTGTTTTTGTTTTCTATCTCTCTGTCACCTTAAATTTGACCATACAATCCTTTCTGTCTCTTTCTTGCGCTGCTCTCTCCCTCCTCCTTCCTCCTCCTCTTCCTGATAACGATAACGATGATTCTGATAATGACGATTTCGAGGATGACGCTGAACCTTCCCAAACCTCCTCCTTCTCTCTACGGTTGTTTTGCTCTTCACTCTTCACCTTCTCTTCCCACTTACCTCAGCATCACCTTTTTCACCTTTTCGACGATTTTCTGCGATTTTCACTGTACAAACAAGCAAAAACCTTACACCCCACACACACTCTTTCCCTCTTTGCATTTTCTCTTCTATACATTATATTTATACGATATACACACATACATGAACACATTTTGTCACCTCCTCCATCTTCACCACCACCTCACCCACTGACACACCTCCTCTTCCTCCTCCTTCTTTTTCGCTATCTCACTTGTTGACGACATCTCGCTCTTTGTTACTACATGCGTGCATTTTCTGATTATTTTTTACTACTTTCGATTTTATAAGATTGTTACTGAAATTTTACTCTTTCTCTCTTCACTTTTGAGTTCGCTTTTGAATTCTCCTCATGTACAAAATCTTTCTTTTCCTTTTCCTTTCTGTCTCTCTCTCTTTCTCATTCTCATACAAACTCATTTTGGTTGCGCTGCATTGTTTTCTTTCTTTCTTTCTTTCTTTTGTATCTTCTTTTCTCTTCTTACCACTATTATTATTATTATATGTTTATTATATCATTACTACTATATCTCCAATCCTCTTCCTTCTCCTCCTCCTTCTCCTCTCATCCCTTTGGTCTTGTTTTCCTAATGTAAGCGAGCCTGCAATTAATATAATAATGATAATAAATAAAAACACGGACGTTGGTTGATGATACCTGCTGAGCTGCTGTTTTGCAGTAAAAACAGTAAAAACGGACCGGAAAATAAATGTTAGCTTTGGACTTGCACTTGCAACAATGATCGAAGTACGAGCGCGCACACAGCAAAAAAAGAAAAAGAATCAGAGAGAGTTTCAGGAACTGAGGTGTTGAGCAATGCGCAGAGCTGGCAAGGAAAAACTGTACAGTGGTACAGCACTCGAGCACTGTACAGCAGCATCGAAACTGTATAGCAAATCACACACTTTTCAGTAGTCACAGTTGAACACACAGCAATCTTCACTGAATATTCGCGCTTTGAGAATAAGATCTCTCCGGTCTGAGCAGCCGCTACATAGAAGCAGCTTTCTCTCTCATTTCTAAATGCTATCCTCTCTTTTTCGCGTTCCAAAAGTTCTCTCATTCACTCTTTTGGGTCTCGGGAAGCTAGATAGTTGTTGGCGGTGCTCCTGGTGGTTGTGGCGCCTAGCAGGTCATCAAAACTTTTCACCAGCGTCGGCGGCGGCGGAGGCGGCGGCGGCGGTAGTGGTAGCCACCGATCAAGTTCGAAGCAGTCACAATCTGTCAACAACAACTGATGACTGCAGCAAGTGCTGGTGTCAACTAGCAGAACCAGCAATATGGAGATCCTCCAATTGGTTCCCTTCTCGTCGGGGAACGACACACAGTTTAGGTTATCACTTCTTCAACTACCACAAGAACAACAACAACCGCCGTCATCATCATATTCGTCATCAATCTCTTCATCTTCAGCACCAAACTCCAACATGATCAACAGCAGCAATCACCATCATCAGCACCATCTCCAGCACCACAACATGACCACCTCCATCGACGAGCTCACCTCTGAGCTGTACATGAGCTCCAAGGTGGTGGTCTCCATCTACAGCGTCCTCTTCGTCATCAGCGCCATCGGCAACACCACCGTCTTCATTTCGCTGGTGAAGAATCGCAATCGCAAGCTTCGCATCAATCTGCTCATACTCAATCTGACCATAGGTTTGCCTGTTTAATCTGCTGTTTTTGATGCTGTGTTTTGTTTACCTCTGGCGGAATCTTGCGGCTCAAGCTAACTGTATTTTATTTGTCCTCTCTTAGCCGATCTGATCGTCACTTACATTATGATCCCGATGGAGATTGGCTGGCGAATCACCAACCAGTGGCTGGCCGGTGATCTGATGTGCCGCGTACTGCAGGCATTCAGGTGAGACAACCAAATTAAATCTTTGGTTCTATTTTGAGCTACTGCAAATCGCCCATCTTTGACTGGTCTACAACGGCGGCAACAACAAGAACTTTGAGTGACATTGGTGACCAAAGCAGGAGAAGGAGGAGTGCTCAAGTCGGCCATTTCTTTTTGATGTCTAATTTGAAAGGACAAACACAAGTCAAGCGAGCGAGCAAGCGAGCGAGCGAGTGTCCCCAGATGATTCTCAATCTGACGGCCGTCCAACTAATGATTCGCAGGAATTTGAGTTCTTCTCTGCTGTTCATTCAAGTCGTCGCCTAATCCTTGGCCAGTAACATTGATCTTCAGTAGTAATGCCACTGTCGCAAATCACTGCCTTCATTAGTGGCGCAGAAAGGGGCACTAATTAATATAAAGTAGATGAAGAAGAAGATGAGGAGGAGGAGGAGGAACATCAAAGCTGAGATTGCCCAAGCGCCACCTAGGGAACTCCCCAGCGAATTCTCTCCAGCGCAAATTCGAAACGCGTCAGCGAAAAAGTCTAGTGAAAAAGTGAAAACGTTGGACACTATTCTTCTTCTTCTATTTTAGCCTCCACTTTCCCCTTCTCTTTACTTTTTTTTGCTAGCAGATTCAAGTTTTTTTCAAACGGTCGTCTTAGTATTGGGCCATTTACTATCCCCCCCCCCGATTTGCGTCGTTTNAGAAGAACATCAAAGCTGAGATTGCCCAAGCGCCACCAAGGGAACTCCCCAGCGAATTCTCTCCAGCGCAAATTCGAAACGCGTCAGCGAAAAAGTCCAGTGAAAACGTTGGACACTATTCTTCTTCTTCTATTTTAGCCTCCACTTTCCCCTTCTCTTTACTTTTTTTTGCTAGCAGATTCAAGTTTTTTTCAAACGGTCGTCTTAGTATTGGGCCNTTTCTTCAAACGGTCGTCTTAGTATTGGGCCATTTACTATCCCCCCCCCGATTTGCGTCGTTTTTCGAGAAATAATGATCATCGTCGTTTTTTCTTTTTCTATTTCATTGCTCTCTAATTAACGTAATTGCTCTTCTCACCCAGAGCCTTTGGTCCGTATCTCTCCAGCATGATCCTCGTCTGCGTCTCACTGGATCGGTAAGAAAAAAAGGAGGAGGAATAGAGGGCTAGATCACTTTGTTATCTTTGACCATTTTTGCCCTCGCTCACTATCAATCACCCTCACCACAACCACATCAGCTACTTTGCCGTCATCCACCCGCTGAAGGTGAACGACGCCCACCGCCGCAGCAAGATCATGCTGACCTTTGCCTGGCTGACGAGCATCGTCTGCAGCGTCCCGCAGACCATCGTCTTTCACACCGCCTCGCATCCGCTCTTTCCAGGTGGGTGGACAACACACTGTGGAAATTTAGAGATCATTCCTTAGCTAGCCACAGGATCTTCATGCTAACTCCCTTTTTCACTGTTCATCATTCACACAGACTTTGTGCAGTGCGTCTCCTACAACTCGCTGACCGAGTGGCAGGAGATCTTCTACAGCACCTTCGGCATCGCCGCCCTCTACCTCATTCCTCTGATCATCATCATCTGCTGCTATGCGCGCATCCTCTGGGAGATCTACCGCCGCTCCAAGGAGTCCACCGAGGGTAGGCAACATTTTTTTCCAGTCAACTAATAATCTTCATGATTCTATCTTGATACTTCTCCAGACATGCAAAGCAGTCGTCACCTGATCCACCGAACCGAGTCGGACGGCGGTGGCAGTACCACCGGTGAAGGAGGAGGAGGAGGAGGAGGAGGCAGCGGCAGTGGTCGTCCTCGAGGGCGAAACAACTCCTATGTTTCTTCGGGCAGTGGCAATCACGGGAGTGGCAGCAAGAGCAATCACAACAAATTTCACCTGCGGCGGTCAGACATTGCGCAGATTGAGAAGGCGCGCATTAGGACGCTTCGCATGACCATAATCATCGTTCTCGGTAGGGTGGAGCGATGATTTCTATCTTTGGGTTTGAAGTTCTATTTTTCCATTTTCCCTGTTCAGCCTTTGTCTTCTGCTGGACGCCGTACGCGTCCATCGTCCTGCTCTTTCACTTCTACAAGCAGAAGGTGGAGGACATGCAGAAGGACTTGAAGGACGCGCTCTTCATGTTCGCCGTCAGCAACTCCTGCGTCAATCCGCTCGTCTACGGCAGCTACACGATGAACTTCCGGGCGCACTTTCGCCGCTGGCTGGGAATGCTCTGCAGTGCTAATCCTCTCTCGCCCTGGTCGACCCGGGGCAGTCGGGGTGGTGGTGGTGGTAATGGAGGAGGAGGAAGAAGAAGTTGTGGTAGTGGCGGTTCTGGTAACATCGACGTCTTGAAGGGCGGCAGAAAGGGTGCAAGCTTGTCGGCGGTTGGTGGAGCCAATCGAAGCAATAGAGGAAGAGGAGGAGGTGGTGGAGGTGGTTGTAGAAGCAGCTGCCTGAGTGCCCAGAGCTTCAGTAGAGGAGGAGGGTACCTGATCCACCAGCAGGAGCCGGAG